TCACTCGCTAACAATAATAGTTATTATTTTAACATGCTTCGATTAAGGAAGGGGCACGGATTAAGAGAAATTATCAAGTGAGAATGTAATAATCGAATGAAAGTATGGTTTTCTGAATTTTAACGTTTATAAGAGGAAAGATATAAAGGGAAAGAAAGGTAGGCAGCCAGCCAGTCAGTCAGTCAGTCAGTCAGTCAGTCAGCCAGTCAGTCAGTTACCTTCCTCTTAAGAAAAATTCGTACTCATTAGCCATTAGGCCATAAATCACGTTTCCGAGACACGAATAACATACGTGTAACGCGCTGTACTTTGTCGTTGCGCATTATTTATGAAAGGACGGATGATAAATAACGTACCATTCATGATATACACGGTGGCTCGTCTTGCGTTAAAAAGCTGACGGTATAATTTTTCTCAGCTTTTCGTACGGTTAAAGCACGCCTATAGTGCTCTCCCCGTATATGAAAAGAAATAAGAGAAGGAAAAAGTAGGATGGCAGGGCGGGGGGTGTGGAGAGGGAAAAGAAGCAAAATATAATCACGGTCTCTCTCGTATCAGGATGGTTCCGCGGGGTGTAGAGGAGCGGCGATGTCCCTCTTTAACCCTCGACGAATCCGGCGGCCGTGCCCAGGACTTTTTTGCACGCCTACGTGCACGCACGCGAGGGACGAAGTCGAGCGAAGGGAAAAAAATGAGCGCAGAAGCACGGGAGAAGAGAGCGAGTGCGTTCGAGAGATAGAGATAGAGATAGAGTGAGAGTGAGAGAGATAGAGATAGAGAGAGAGAGATATATAGAGAGAGAGATAGAGATAGAGAGAGAGCAAGAGAGAGAGAGAGAGATCAAGAGAGAGAGAGAGAGAGCAAGAGATAGATAGATAGATAGATAGATAGATAGATAGATAGAGAGAGAGAGAGAGAGAGTGGATAGTGAAAAGGTTTGCTGGGACTATGTAAGCACTAGATTTTTTCACTATCGGGTTTGCCGCTTACGTGTGTGCGTGTGCACACGCGTTCACGTATTTGTATGGGCGTAGGGTCGGCTCCGTGGAATATTCAGAAAGAGTGGTAAAACATTTAGGGTCCCCGATCGGCTGTTTCATGGGTGGGGGGAGTTCCGAAGGGGACTGAAAAAGAGCTGGCTTTGCTATTCCCTTCTATCCCTCGCTCTCTTCTCGTTCCCTTGCCCACTCTTTCACTCTCTTTGTGTCTCTCATTGTGAAGAGAGAAAGATGGTGGATCATACATAAGGGCAGCGGTTAGTGGGGAAAATTGAGAGGGCTCGGGGAAAAGGGCCGATACGGGGGAAGAGAACGGTGCGAGCGAGCGAGTGAGCGAGGGAACGGAAAAGTGTGAGGGGCGAGAGAGACAAGAGTAGAAGCGGAGTTGTATGCTAGTGCTGTTGCTGCTCGAGATGGGATGAGACACATGAAAAATCGATCGGCTCTATAGTGCCATCACACGCGTATGTTCACGCGTAAGCTGAAGTCGCCTGAATAAATATATATATATATAAATATAAATATATATATATATATATATATATATATATATATTATAGATATAGTTATATGACTACATGCATAGATGCATGTGCACATCTACACACTCATGCGTGCATATATGCATATAAATACATATATATATATATATATATATATATACAATGCATTCATGCGTATGAGCACACAAAGCTATTAGGGCGCGCGCGTGTGTCTGTATATATATATATATATATATATATATATATATACATAAATGCGTGAGCACACATGCCAAGTAGCCGAATTCGTTGTACGAGAGCGAGGGGCGGCACAAAAGTCCTGCCCGAGCCAGATAAGTTCCAACATAGAGATTTGCGAATGATGTGGTTTTGTGAGAAAATACGCGCACACTTGTGTAGGCACGCAGATTGAATTACGAGCTACGCATAGTGTGCGCGGGCGTTTGAATCAGTCGACCATGAATGCGCGTAATAAGCATTGCAGTATAAATATGCACTGATCAGAAAGATAGAGAGAAAGAGAGAGAGAGAGAGAGAGAGAGAGAAACTTCTATTAACGCTTTCTTAGTCGGACTCTTGGGTATGTAATATAAACGGAGTGCTGAAAAGAAAGGAAGAGAGATGGGCGGGCGGGAGACAGAGTAAGAGACCTTGGGGACGAACGGCTGTAGTGTGACAGAGCGCCACTTTAAGGTCGTCGTCTATCTTTGTTTTTTTCGTTTTCCAATGGCAAAAAAAAAAAGACATGTACCCATAAATCTGGCGGAAGAGACAAAAGGATGGATAATCGGAAAGAGAAGAAAGGATGAGTAGGAGGAGGTCGAGGGGAAGAGGGAGAGGGAGAGGGAGAGGGAGGAGCGGGAGAGGGGAGAGGGAGAGGGAGAGCGAGAGGGAGAGCGCGGTGCGGAATAAACGGGGAATTATACAACGCATGTGCGGCTCCAGTCTGCATGTAATAGAAGGAAGCCGAGGTAAATGAGGAGAGTCGGCTGTGGTATACACAAGGAAAGGAGAGATTGAAAGTGCCCTCTCTCTCTTTCTCTTTCTCTTCCACTCTCTCGCTCGCTAAGAGAGTCAAAGGCACAGCTGTGTGAAAGAGAACAAGAGCTGATGAGAGGGAGTGTTCAGCCGTTCGTTCGGTATACATTTGAGTGCACAGGAAGGGCAGAAGCGGGGGTTGTAAAAGGCGCGGGCGGTCCTAGAGTGGGGGGAGAGCGGCGCCGTTGTGAGATGGAGAGTGAGCGAGAGAAGCGACAGCATGGTGCATGTGTAGGTTGATCCGCCGTGTGGCCGAGAGCGAGAGAGAGGGAGAGAAACAAATCCAGCGACTCGAGGAGCAATGAGTAGGAAAAGGGGAGGGAGAGAGAGAGAGCGGGAGAGAGAGAGCGGGAGAGAGAGAGCGGGAGAGAGAGAGAGCGGGAGAGAGAGAAAGAGAGACATTGTGTACGCGGGCAGCGTTGGTGGTGGTGGTGATGGTGGTGGTAGTTTTGTTCGGCGCTGGTCTCGCTCTCTCCTCGACTCGGCTTTCCTTCCTCGTCGTAGCTCTTTAGTTGGGCACGAGAGTTCGGGTCGTCGAGTTCTCCGTAGGCGCACGTCCTGCAATCGTGTAGCATTGCATTATATTCAAACGGGAGAGAAAGAGAGAGAGAGAGAGAGGGAGCGTGTTAGTGAGAAGGGAGGCCCGGCCCCCTCTCGGTCGCCTTACCCACGCATACACGTACACGCACGCTAAGGATTCACTGCGTACGTTTTCTTCTTCGCCACTACGAATTCTTTTCTCTTTCTCAGTCTGTATCTCTCTCTCTCTTTCTGCCAGTATACGTCGAGCAGCGGAAAAAAGTCGCGCGAGCACGGCGTAATTAGCATCCGAATCGCGCGATGCGAGAAGAAAACCGTAGCATGGCGCTAGTCGTCGTCGCTGTCGCCGCCGGTCCGAGTGCGCTCGTGCTTATCCCTCGGGACCGTCGGTTCTAATCAGAGAGGGAGAGAGAGAGTGCGCTAGCGCGCGCGCGTGTACGATATATCTACATACATACGTAACGTTATACACACACACACACGCACGTACGCACGCCCATACATATATGCATATGCAATAGAGTGGAGAGAGAGAGAGAGAGAGAGAGAGAGAGAGACAGGCAGACAGACGTAGTCGAGTGGAAGTGTGCGCGCGACGTCGAGAGAGAAGGAGAGAGAGAGAGAGAGAGAGAGAGAGTGTGAGAGAGTCGGTCGAGCCAGCGAGCTGGAGGGAGAGAGAGAGAAGGAAGTCAGTTGGCGATATCGAGACTGCGAAGGAGAAAAAAGACCGTCGGCCAAAAGGAGCCGAGGCGCGCGTTCCTGCGATGCCGCTGCCCTTGCCTCTTGCAGACAAAGGGGGACGGCGTGCCGCGGTTCTGCTAGTCGCCGCTAACTTTACGGCGGAGTGACTCTCCAGAGGAGTTGGACAGGCTGCCAACGAGGAGGACGGCGAGGACACGGCTGGAGAATGCTCTACTGCCCGTGGGAATAACATCGGGCCTCATCACGTACGTATACAGTCTGACATGGTTTGTGTGCGTGAGAATTGTCTGTCGTCAGTCTTGTGTGTGCATGTCTGGTAGTGCAATGTGTCGTTAGTTCGCGACCGTAGGCGCGCCCCGTCTCCGATAACGGGAGGAGGAGGAGGTGGGGGAGGAGGAAGAGATGGAAGGATACAGGGACGATAGGGACGATAGGGAGTGTACACCAGGGCTGACTCGTATCGCCAGCCTCGATATCTCCACGACGAAGAGGGGAACATATTTATGGATTGTTTCCGTGGTGGCATGAGCGTACGGGCACCGGCTTTTCCCATCCGTTTTCTCGTCGCACGTGTACGCCTCGTCGCATTTCACCCTCAGCTCGTTAACGGGAGCGACCTCAACTTCCCGGCTAATAACTAACACGCAGGGAACTCGGTACGGTCTATCGATCTGTGCCGGAATCTCCATAAATAAAATCCAAATCGTCGAAGCCTTCGCTCGTCCAATTGTTTACATCGATCCCTTTAACGGATGACACTCGTTCGCTCGTTGCGTGGTTTTGGAAAAAGAGCTGCCCTTGTTAAATGTCCAAGATACGGTGGTGGATGATAGATGCGTGGCTCCTCTGTGCTTTCGAACGAAGGGAAAGTAAGGAATAATTGGCGTTGCTTGGATCTTGGATGCATAAAGTATCCGAGATCATCCTCTTCTTTCACGGAGCAAACGCAGAGACGATACGATTCTCTAATTAAGGAGGATGTATGGTAATGGGAAAGTTTGGCGGTGAAGTTTCGTCCTGCGCGAGCGATGATCTGGGGATAAAAAAAACTGCGCTCAATGAAAGAGCCAGTCGCAGATACGGAACAACAAAGACGCAGCCAAAAGAAAAAGAAAAGAGATATAAAAGAGAGAAAAAAGTACTACGGGTGCACAGGGTCTAATTGCTCAACAGGAGAGCGAGATTCTCGGCAGCGAGCTGGAGGGAGAGAGAGAGAAGGAAGTCAGTTGGCGATATCGAGACTGCGAAGGAGAAAAAAGACCGTCGGCCAAAAGGAGCCGAGGCGCGCGTTCCTGCGATGCCGCTGCCCTTGCCTCTTGCAGACAAAGGGGGACGGCGTGCCGCGGTTCTGCTAGTCGCCGCTAACTTTACGGCGGAGTGACTCTCCAGAGGAGTTGGACAGGCTGCCAACGAGGAGGACGGCGAGGACACGGCTGGAGAATGCTCTACTGCCCGTGGGAATAACATCGGGCCTCATCACGTACGTATACAGTCTGACATGGTTTGTGTGCGTGAGAATTGTCTGTCGTCAGTCTTGTGTGTGCATGTCTGGTAGTGCAATGTGTCGTTAGTTCGCGACCGTAGGCGCGCCCCGTCTCCGATAACGGGAGGAGGAGGAGGTGGGGGAGGAGGAAGAGATGGAAGGATACAGGGACGATAGGGACGATAGGGAGTGTACACCAGGGCTGACTCGTATCGCCAGCCTCGATATCTCCACGACGAAGAGGGGAACATATTTATGGATTGTTTCCGTGGTGGCATGAGCGTACGGGCACCGGCTTTTCCCATCCGTTTTCTCGTCGCACGTGTACGCCTCGTCGCATTTCACCCTCAGCTCGTTAACGGGAGCGACCTCAACTTCCCGGCTAATAACTAACACGCAGGGAACTCGGTACGGTCTATCGATCTGTGCCGGAATCTCCATAAATAAAATCCAAATCGTCGAAGCCTTCGCTCGTCCAATTGTTTACATCGATCCCTTTAACGGATGACACTCGTTCGCTCGTTGCGTGGTTTTGGAAAAAGAGCTGCCCTTGTTAAATGTCCAAGATACGGTGGTGGATGATAGATGCGTGGCTCCTCTGTGCTTTCGAACGAAGGGAAAGTAAGGAATAATTGGCGTTGCTTGGATCTTGGATGCATAAAGTATCCGAGATCATCCTCTTCTTTCACGGAGCAAACGCAGAGACGATACGATTCTCTAATTAAGGAGGATGTATGGTAATGGGAAAGTTTGGCGGTGAAGTTTCGTCCTGCGCGAGCGATGATCTGGGGATAAAAAAAACTGCGCTCAATGAAAGAGCCAGTCGCAGATACGGAACAACAAAGACGCAGCCAAAAGAAAAAGAAAAGAGATATAAAAGAGAGAAAAAAGTACTACGGGTGCACAGGGTCTAATTGCTCAACAGGAGAGCGAGATTCTCGGTTCGATATTTTCCTAGCAGCAGCAGCAGCAGCAGCGGCGACGGCGGCGGCGGCGGCGGCGTTCCAGGGCTTGGCTCCCCCTTCGGGTTGAGCTCCGAGCTAAGGACTAAGAAAGAACAAGGAGGCAAAGGGAGAAACGAAGAAAAAGAGGCGGACTTGGTGGTCTCTCCCTCCTCCTCCTCCTCCTCCTCCTCCTTCTCCTCCCCATTACCCCCTCGCCGCAACGCGCTCGCTCGCTCGTTCACTCGCACATACACAGTCTCTCTCTCTCTCTCTCTCTCTCTATCTATCT